TTTTTCTATCTGGGGAGCCAACAAATACTTAAGTGTGATCTACTATTTCTCTCTCCTTCTAGAACACTGTCATTCCTATTCTTCTCTTCCTCCACACATTGTGTGACAATTTTCCTCTAGCTGGGAGGATGAAAGGCCAGTTTCCGTGCCAGCGTCTCCCTTTAGTGCTGCAGATAAATCCAGCCTTACACCCTTCCTGACTCTGCTGGTCACAGGCAACACAAGCACTCCCCTCTAGGGCTCTGCTGTCTCTCTACAGGCGCACTCCAACCCCTGCGTCCTCCAAGCATCCCTCTGGATTGTCCAGCTGCTGATCCCCTGAACACTCCCAAAGGAACAACACACCCCAGCTTACCAGTTACATCGCAGATCACTGCTTTGCTTAACTCACAGCCCTCAGATATGTTTATATTGAAATTATGTGTAAGATTATTTCACAAAGTACAGAGATGCAAGTGGAAATATTGGAAACAAATAGTTACATATAACTAAAACCATAACACTCATTGTGGCACCGAGACTTAACTAGTTCCTGTCATGTCTTATAAAAAGCAAATCTGACCCCAAATCCTTCCAGTGATTTACAGCTATGCTTGGGTGTGATTTTTTTTTTTCTGTTGAGACAAGTCATGCTGTCAGTTTGCTCCATCAGTGAAAAGATCCTGGATGTACCTATGCATGCAGTTATGCTGCCACACACACCCCGCCACACCCCCGCCAAACATCCAGTGTCTTTACTCCTAAACAGGATCTCCTCCTGCTGTTTACAATGTGCAGCAGCAGTCAAAAAAGCTAACAATGTTGGGAATCATTAGGAAAAGGATAGATAATAAGACAGAGGCTATATGATATTGTCTATATAAATCCATGGTACACCCACATCTTGAATACTGTGTACAGATGTCACCCCTTCTCACAAAAGAGAGATTCTGTAAAGGTACAGAAAAGGGCAACAAAAATTATTAGGGGTATAGTACAGCTGCCATATGAGGAGAGTCATAAAACTGAGGTGTGGTTTTTTTGTTTTTGTTTTTTTTAAGCATAGAAAAGAGATGATTAAGGGGGGGATATGATTGAGATCTATAAAATAATGACTGGTATGGAAAAAGTAAATAAGGAAGTGTTGTTTACTCCTTCTCATAACACAAGAACTAGGAGTCACCAAATGAAATTAGTAGGCAGCAGGTTTAAAACAAACAAACAGGAAATATTTCTTCACACAAGTCTTTTAGAAAGACTAAACCCGCAAGGTAGGCTAGGCCATAATAGCTCTGGTCTTAGGGGTAGGGATACTTACCTGCACACAAGGATAGCAGCCCATTGGCTGTCCTTAAGATCTGCAGTGCGTGCGCTACACACACATGACACTAGAGAGGGAGAAGACCAATATATCTGTTCGGAACAGTTGTCTTCATGAGGAAGGCCAGCCAGGGAAAGAGCAGCTACCTGTCTGTAGTCCCATCTTCAGAATCCTGTTGCCTCCTGTCCTGCTGTGTCTGTGAGCATCCATTGTTCCTGTCATCTGAGAGGGTATAGTGACATTTTAGTAATCCTTAGTTTTTAATAAATCTTTCTTACTCCCATTGTATGTTTTCATTTGGGACTGTAACAACCCGATGATAAATGCAGGATTAGGGGGACAAATCTTTTCACCTTCGGCCAGGTGAACACCCTCAGCTGGGACCCAGGAGCAGCAACATTTGAATTTTTAGGTGTCCCTAGAATACTTGTGCCCCTAGGCCTGTGCCTAATTGTTTCTGGGTGTCAGGAAGGAACCTTTTCATTCTGTCCACCATAGAAAGGCACAGTTATCAAGGTCCTTGCATAATAACCTTTTTTAACCTTTGAAGCATCAGCCTATTGGTCTGAAATAGAACTGTTACATCAGAAACAATAGGCGGCCTCATACGTGAAAATTTTGGGTTGCACAATTAAAATAATTGAGCACTCAACTTTACAGTTTGCAGCTGCAAATAACTTGTTTCAAAGTCCCCTTTCTTTCCCAAATAGGAAAAGTATAGGTATAACACCATTTGTTTTGGCGTAATCTATCCATAAGCACAGATTTCCCAAACAGCAAATCAAAAGGTTAGCTTTAAAATTCACTTAGGCTGTCACTCAGTGAGGCACCCTTATTTGGTCATTCAGTTAGGGTTAACGTCAGCTGCATTTTTATACATCAGAATCTACTTTCCACTTTTGTTTAAGAGGACAAATGTACAATTTAACTACAGTGCCTCCCCTTGATTGTTGATTTCAAAAAGGCAATGTGGGAATTTGCTTCAGTAGGAGGCTATTACCTCAAACATCTATCTTAGATAAAAGAGTGATGGGTGCCTAAATTCTAATAGGACTTCACAGATATAACTGAGAGAAGGTTATGATCTACAAGACTTTTTTTTTTTTTTTTACTGGTGATAATGCCTGAGAGGGAAAGAATCCAGCTTGACTGTCAGTTTCTTGGGTGAGTTTGCAGGAGATGGCAGTTGTAAAAAAATGTTTTGCCTTGCGAGCTGAATAAATTTGATGTGAGGTAATGGAAAAACAATAAGGCTGAAGCAAACCTCACAATACTCTTTTACAGTGTTACTTTTTCAGAGGAAATACAACTGCACTTCGGTGGACAATGTTTGAATGAGCAATCAGATTAGAGAGAGGGTTGCCAACCCTCCTGGTTTGGCTAGGAGTCTCCTGGAATTCTCCTGGAATTCCTGGAGGCTATTGAAGCCAATCTATGAGATTTTAGGCTCCTAAAAGTCCAGTGGGGCTAAGGCAGGCTCCTTGCCTGCCCAGGCTCCTTGCCGCTCCCGGAAGTGGCCAGTATGTCCGGCAGTGGCTACTAGGCGCAGGCGTGACCAGAGGGTCTCCGCGCGTGGCCCCTGCCCAGAGCACCGACTCTGCAGTGCCCATTGGCTGGCAAGGGGGAGCTGCGGGGGCAGTGCCTGCAGGGAGGGGCAGCATGCAGAGCCACCTGGCTTCCCTGGAGACTGAGCTGTTGCCGGACATGCTGCTGCTTCCGGGAGCCACCCGAGATAAGTGCTGCCTTCCTGGACCCTGCACCCCAAACCCCCTCCCAAGCCCCTACTCCAGACCTCAGCCCCCTCCTGCACTCAAACTCCCTCCCAGAGCCTGCACCCCCTCCTGCACCCTAACCCCCTGCCCCAACCCAGTGAAAATGAGTTAGGGTGGGGGAGAGTGAGTGATGGAGGGAAGGGAGCTGGAGTGAGCCGGGGCGGGGCCTGGCGGGGTGTTTTTGGGTTTGTGTGATTAGACCATTCACAACCCTTGTCAGAGAAGAGAAATTTTAGGTTCATAACATCTAGATATCCTGAAACTACAACATCAATTCCTGGCAATCCTTCGTATAGTCAAAGTAGACAAACTGCGTGGCCAGCTCTTAGATAAGACCATCAAAAATGAGACTCCCTCTGCTCTTTGTGAGTAGCAAAGATCCTTTATATAATCTTTTCATATGATATGGGGGGCTTATGTAGTAGCCTTGGACAACATTTCTTTTTTTTTTCCTAACCAGGCTAGTTAGAGGTTGCATTTCAGTTGTGCTGAATGAATATAGTTCTGACTCCTTCGGGATGAAAGGCACTATACAAATCAAAGGCGTTATTAATAACAAGGGTGAATATCATGGAGAAGAAAAGGTTTCCTGTCTTTAGAGCACAGGGGAAACAGGATGTGAGATAATGAGCCATAATTTGTGTTATACAGTATAACCATGTTGTCTCCTCAGAAAGAAATGGGATGGGTTTCACTCCTTCATGGAGACACCATTCTCCAGTTATTTCTACAGGAGTTCCCATTAGCACTTTATTTTTATCCTAGCACTAAGCGATGAGATATTACATTAATTTGAGTATACTAAAATTACAAGTACTAAAGGGGAAATGCTTGGAGCTTTTAACACTGATGGCCAGAATGCGCATAGTAAGCAAATACTGAATACAAAAGCACTGGTTTCCTAAATTGGAATACTCTGCACTCCTTTTTCCCCATTTTCTTATATTTATCCATTTTATATTTATTTGCACTTATAAATATGCTCCCCGGTGAGGCCCAACCTTTAATGCCTCAATTTCACTCCATTGAAAATGTTCTGTTTGTTTGTTTTTTGTTCGTTTTTTTTTTTTTTTTAATCCAATCATAACTTCAGCCTGTTGGCTGATTTAGTGAACTCTGGACTGAAATGAAATATTAGTTCATTAACATTCCTCTTGGTGACACCAACGAAAAGCAGTGCTTGAAAAATAGCAAACTGTGGCATTAGCAGAACCTGGACATGGTAGGAAAAACTGCTTCCTCCTGGTGTATGTAAGTGAAAATAATTTACATTTTTCACCCATGACCCCAGTGAAAATACTGTTTTAAAAATGGCATGACAGTGTTTAAATGGCTGGTCCCTACAACAGTTAATTTAAAAAAAGTCATAGAAGATTAAGGTTGGAAGAGACCTCAGGAGATCATCAAGTCCAACTCGCTGCTCAAAGCAGGATCAACCCTAATTAAATCACCCCAGCCAGGGCTTTGTCCAGCCAGGTCTTAAAAACCTCTAAGGATGGAGATTCCACACCCCTGCCCTCCAGGTAACCCATTCCAGTGCTTCACTACCCTCCTAGTGAAAAAGTTTTTCCTAATATCCAACCTAGACCTCCCCCACTGCAACTTGAGACCACTGCTCCTTGTTCTGTCATCTGCCACCACTGAGAACAGCCTAGCTCCATCCTCTTTAGAACCCCCCTTCAGGTAGATGAAGACTGCTATCAAATCCCCCCTCATGCTTCTTTTCTGCAGACTAAATAAGCCCAGTTCCCTCAGCCTCTCCTCATAAGTCATGTGCTCCAGATCCCTAATCATTTCTGTTGCCCTCCGCTGGACTCTCTCCAATTTGTCTGCATCTTTTCTGTAGTGGGGGGGGGGGGGGGGCGACCCAAAACTGGATGCAAGACTCCAGATGTGGCCTCACAATGCCAAATAGAGGGGAATAATCACTTCCCTCGATCTGCTGGCAATGTTCCTACTAATGCAGCCCAGTATGCCTTTAGCCTTCTTGGCAACAAGGGCACGCTGTTGACTCATATTCAGCTTCTTGTCCAGTGTAATCCCTAGGTTCTTTTCTGCAGAACTGCTGCCTAGCCATGTCCCCAACATGGGATTCTTCTATCCAAAGTGCAGGACTCTGCACTTGTCCTTGTTGAACCTCATCAGATTTCTTTTAGGCCAATCCTCCAATTTGTCTAGGTCACTCTGGACCCTATCCCTACCATCCAGCATATCTACCTCTCCCCCCAGCTTAGTGTCATCTGAAAACTTCTGAGGGTGCAATCCATCCCACCATCCAGATCATTAATGAAGATGTTGAACAAAACCAGCCCCAGGACCGACCCTTGGGGCACTCCACTTGATACCGGCTGCCAACTAGACATTGAGCCATTGATCACTACCCACTGAGCCCGACGAAGAAGTTGTGTTGTTTTTGACATAGAAATATACCTGTTTCAGTCTGGGCACTACTTGGTCCATGGTAGATAGGTAGATTTCCACTTACTGATCTATTTTAAAGTAATTCAGTTGGATAAAGCAGTTATTCTCTAGCCCATGTGTCTATTACAGATACGGTAGAGATAATTGGGTATGTCCAGAGGTTATAGTGGAAACGATGGAGTCCTGTGCAATTAATCCTTTATGAGGCCAGCTGGATTATAATAGTAGGTAAGATGTTGACTACAAACAAACTTTTTTTTGGGGGGCAGGGGGGATGACAGGAGTTATATCAGCCTGAGCCCCTAACTTTCACCGCTATTTTGATCCTTGTGGGATGGAACTGCTAGAAAAATTAGAATACAGCAGCTTCCTATATGAATATACTTTTAAATTAGAAATAATCTCTTGTTTATCAAACGTAAGTCTTTTTTTATTGTTTTAAAGTGATGGACCAAAACATGACAGCTTACAGCGGTTTTATGGCATTTTGAACTGTTAGTGTAGAATATTGTAATACTGTAATGTAATTTAATAATATCTTTTGAATCAATATTGGTTTTTTCATCTGAGTGTCTAAAACAGCAGCTCTCAAACTTTGGGTAGGGACCCCAAAGTGGGTTGCTACTCCATTTTAATTTGGGTCACATGGGCTGGTTTAGACTTGCTGGGGCCCAGAGCTGAAGCCTGAGCTCACCATGCAGGGCTGAAGCCCTGGGCAGCGGAGTTCAGGTTACAGGCCCCCTGCCTGGGGCGGAAGCTCTTGGGCTTTGGGCTCCCCACCCAGGGTGGTGGGTCTCTGGCTTTGCCCCCCCCCGGGCTGATGGGGCGCAAGCAGGCTCGAGCTTCGGTCCCCCATCCTGGGGTCGTGTAGTAATTTTGTTGTCAGGACGGGTTGCAGTGCAATGAAGTTTGAGAACCCCAAGAATGACCTTGCGCGGATCACTGCGGACTACATGGCTCTGGGAAGAAGGATAAAGGCGTTTGAGGCGCAAGTGGTGTTCTCGTCCATCCTCCCCGTGGAAGGAAAAGGCCTGGGTAGAGATCGTCGAATCATGGAAGTCAATGAATGGCTATGCAGGTGGTGTCGGAGAGAAGGCTTTGGATTCTTTGACCATGGGATGGTGTTCCAAGAAGAAGTGCTAGGCAGAGACAGACTCCACCTAACGAAGAGAGGGAAGAGCATCTTCGCAAGCTGGCTGGCTAACCTAGTGAGGAGGGCTTTAAACTAGGTTCACCGGGGGAAGGAGACCAAAGCCCTGAGGTAAGTGGGGACGTGGGATACTGGGAGAAAGCAGGAGAACGCAAAAGGGGAGGGCTCTTGCCTCATACTAAGAAAGCAGGACAAACAGCAAGTTATCTCAAGTGCCTATACATAAATGCAAGAAGCCTGGGAAACAAGCAGGGAGAACTGGAAGTCCTGGCACAGTCAAGGAATTATGATGTGATTGGAATAACAGAGACTTGGTGGGATAACTCACATGACTGGAGCACTGTCATGGGTGGATATAAACTGTTCAGGAGGGACAGGCAGGACAGAAAAGTTGGGGGAGTTGCATTGTCTGTAAGAGAGCAGTATGACTGCTCAGAGCTCCGGTATGAAACTGCAGGAAAAACCTGAGTGTCTCTGGATTAAGTTTAGAAGCATGAGCAACAAGGGTGATGTCTTGGTGGGAATCTGCTATAGACCACCGGACGAGGGGGATGAGATGGACGAGGCTTTCTTCCGGCAACTAATGGAAGTTACTAGATTGCAGGCCCTGGTTCTCATGGGAGACTTCAATCACCCTGATATCTGCTGGGAGAGCAATACAGCGGTGCACAGACAATCCAGGAAGTTTTTGGAAAGTGTAGGGGACAATTTCCTGGTGCAAATGCTGAAGGAACCAATTAGGGGCAGAGCTCTTCTTGACCTGCTGCTCACAAACCGGGAAGAATTAGTAGGGGAAGCAAAAGTGGATGGGAACCTGGGAGGCAGTGACCATAAGATGGTCAAGTCCAGGATCCTGACACAGGGAAGAAAGGAGAGCAGCAGAATATGGACCCCAGACTTTAGAAAAGTAGACTTTGACTCCCTCAGGGAACTGATGGGCAGGATCCCCTGGGAGAATAACATGAGGGGGAAAGGAGTCCAGGAGAGCTGGCTGTATTTTAAAGAATCCTTATTGAGGTTACAGGGACAAACCATCCCGATGTGTAGAAAGAATAGTAAATATGGCAGGCGACCAGCTTGGCTTAACAGTGAAATCCTTGCTGATCTTAAACACAAAAAAGAAGCTTACAAGAAGTGGAAGACTGGACAAATGACCAAGGAAGAGTATAAAAATATTGCTCAGGCTTGCAGGAGTGAAATCAGGAAGGCCAAATCACACCTGGAGTTGCAGTTAGCAAGAGATGTTAAGAGTAACAAGATGGGTTTTTTCAGGTATGTTAGCAACAAGAACAAAGTCAAGGAAAGTGTGGGCCCCTTACTGAATGAGGGAGGCAACCTAGTGACAGAGGATGTGGGAAAAGCTAATGTACTCAATGCTTTTTTTGCCTCTGTCTTCAGGAACAAGGTCAGCTCCCAGACTGCTGCACTGGGCAGCAAAGCATGGGGAGGAGGTGACCAGCCCTCTGTGAAGAAAAGTGGTTCGGGACTATTTAGAAAAGCTGGACGAACCCAAGCCCATGGGGCCGAATGCACTGCATCCGAGAGTGCTAAAGGAGTTGGCGGATGTGATTGCAGAGCCATTGGCCATTATCTTTGAAAACTCATGGCAATTGGGGGAGGTCCCGGACAACTGGAAAAAGACGAATGTAGTGCCCATCTTTTAAAAAAAGGGAAGGAGGAGGATCCTTGGAACTACAGGCCAGTCAGCCTCACCTCAGTGCCTGGAAAAATCATGGAGCAGGTCCTCAAGGAATCAATTCTGAAGCACTTAGAGGAGAAGAAAGTGCTCAGGAACAGTCAGCATGGATTCACCAAGGGCAAGTCATGCCTGACTAATCTAATTGCCTTCTATGATGAGATAACTGGCTTTGTGGATGAGAGGAAAGCAGTGGACGTGTTCCTTGACTTTAGCAAAGCTTTTGACATGGTCTCCCACAGTATTCTTGCCAGTAAGTTAAAGTAGTATGGGCTGGATGAATGGACTATAAGGTGGATAGAAAGCTGGCTAGATTGTCAGGCTCAACGGGTAGTGATCAATGTCTCCAAGTCTAGTTCGCAGCTGATATCAAGCGGAGTGCCCCAAGGTTCGGTCCTTGGGCTGGTTTTGTTCAATATCTTCATTAATGATCTGGAGGATGGTGTGGATTGCACCCTCAGCAAGTTTGCAGATGACACTAAACTGGGAGGAGAGGTAGATACGCTGGAGGGTAGGGATAGGATACAGAGGACCCTAGACAAATTGGAGGATTGGGCCAAAAGAAATCTGATGAAGTTCAACAAGGACAAGTGCAGAGTCCTGCACTTAGGACGGAAGAATCCCATGCACTGCTACAGGCTAGGGACTGAATGGCTCGGCAGCAGTTCTGCAGAAAAGGACCTAGGGGTTACAGTGGACGAGAAGCTGGATATGAGTCAACAATGTGCCCTTGTTGCCAAGAAGGCCAATGGCATTTTGGGCTGTATAAGTAGAGGCATTGCCAGCAGATTGAGGGATGAGATTGTTCCCCTCTATTCGACATTGGTGAGGCCTCATCTGGAGTACTGTATCCAGTTTTGGGCCCCACACTACAAGAAGGATGTGGGAAAATGGAAAGAGTCCAGCGGAGGGCAACAAAAAAGATTGGGGGACTGGAACACATGACTTATGAGGAGAGGCTGAGGGACCTGGGGATGTTTAGTCTGCGGAAGAGAAGAATGAGGGGGGATTTGATAGCTGCTTTCAACTACCTGAAAGGGGGTTCCAAAGAGGATGGATCTAGACTGTTCTCAGTGGTAGCAAATGACTGAAAGAGGAGTAATGGTCTCAAGTTGCAGTGGGGAAGATTTAGGTTGGATATTAAGAAAAACTTTTTCACTAGGAGGGTGGTGAAACACTGGAATGCGTTACCGAGGGAGGTGGTGGAATCTCCTTCCTTAGAAGTTTTTAAGGTCAGGCTTGACAAAGCCCTGGCTGGGTTGATTTAATTGGGGATCGGTCCTGCTTTGAGCAGGGCGTTGGGACTAGATGACCTCCTGAGGTCCCTTCCAACCCTGATGATCTATGATTCTAACCCATGATCTGAAAGCTGATGTGCAGTGGATTTTTTTTTTTTTAAATTAGGTTTGTGCTCCTTTTTGCTTCTTTATGGCATATAAAGTAGGCCAGAATGTTTTTTCTTTTTTTTTTCAGAATTTTATTTCCTTAAAAATATTGGGAATATAAAATTTTGGCCTTCCCTGGTTTTGCTCTAGGGATGCCTCTCGCACCTTATTTGAAGTGCTGGGAAGGCTGGATCTTTACAAGACCTCTTCATTTTTCCAGAACGTTATTTAGTCATTGCAGTTAAATGGTAATAACAAAAAATGAAGTTTTAAGCAGTTCAACTAAAAATCCCTCCCCATCTCCATTGATCAACATTCACTCTCTTGTTTCTTTTGAAGTCTCATCTCATGAGTTCTCCACTTACTAGAACCCTTATCTACACTATACTTTTTTCTCAAATTTTCTTGCTATTGTAATTCCATCACCAGCTGTGAAACTTTACTGCTAACTCCATCAGTTATAAATAGTAGGAGCTGGAGTGCACATAGGAGTCACTGCCAATTTAACTACCTTATCATGTAGACCTGTTCTGAACCAGGTTACACAACTTGGTAGTTAAGACATCAGGAGTGGATCCACTTTCAGCGTTGATAGCAGTGGTGGAGCTGCAGAAGCGATAACAACTGTGAGAGATTCTACTAGAGTATTTCTCTACTATTTTTTTTAGTTTATGTATTTTGACAGGCCTATTTTTATCTAGTCAGTTTGACTGTTTCCGCTGTACAGTCAGTTTCTTCTGTTTTTGTGAATATATTTTTCCAGTCTTTTGTGTTAAAGAGTTTTAAAAGGGAAAACCCAGATAACAGGAAAATGTGATTTGCTGATGTACAGCCACTATCTGGAGGACTCAACAGGAGGTGTAGCACCTGAAAGTACTTTTAACTTACATTTATTTAAATGAATTAGATTTCAAGTTAAGTAGGCCACTTTAGATAAATATATAACAATAATTTCAGCACCTATAGGACCAAATTCCTGTTACAATGAGCAAAACTCCTAAAGATTAGAGTGTAGCCAAAAGTTGGCCATAATGTTAGATACAAAATTATGGTCACACATCAACATGTTTGCATAAGAGTTCATGTGAGTTGCATCAAAGCCAATTTCCCCCCCCTTTTTGTAGATGGTCTCTTTTATATTGTATTGTATTTGAATATAAAAGTACAAGTTTAGATTGATGATGAACTTTGGATATCAACAAATTTACTGCAGCAAAACTTGGTTGCATTATTATAGTTCCTTGGCAATAATCCCTAAGCAACCACAAAATAATAGCTTTAGAGTCAACAGTGAGGTTGTTAGCTAATGGTCCAATGCAAAGTGAAGTGCTGTTAGCAATCTAACAAACTAATTTTCATAGTAGTAATGGCAGATTTACATGAGGGCATCACTCACACAAACATTCATCAGTGATTTATATAATCAATAGTGTCTTTTTAGTGGCTAATAATCAGTCTCTTCTTTAACAAGAACTAAATAGCCACTCCATTAAATTTAAGTGTAATCCATTTAATATACTGTAAAAATTACAATACATGGTCTGTGTATTTGTCTGGTTCGTAAATAATTGTTGGCACAGACCCAAAAATGTCATTTCAACATGCCTCCTAAATTCATAAAAATACATTTTGTCTCCTTGTCTGGATTTGTGTTGGCTTTATGGAGAGTGCATGTGGGTAAAAGGATTGGAAATGAAACATGGTATTCATCCTGAATGTGGGCCCAATCCTAAAAAGACTTGTGCATGTGGGGGAGGGATAGCTAGGTGGTTTTAGCATTGGCCTGCTAAACCCTGAGTTGTGAGTTCAATCCTTGAGGGGGCCATTTAGGGATTGGTCCTGCTTTGAGCAGGGGGTTGGACTAGATGACCTCCTGAGGTCCCTTCCAACCCTGATATTCTATGATTAACTTTACACACCATGAGTTCCAATGAAGCCACTGGAACTACTTGCGGTGCATGACAATGAACCATGTAAATAATTGTTTCCCCGTATCTAGGCCTATATTTGTGGGACTTGAGGCTTTTCTTGGTGGTTTTGTTTTATTTTGTTCTCTCATGGGTAACTAATAATAAAAATTCCATTCAAGTGGATAATCAAGAATACTTTCCAATAGAGGCTCATAACTTTTCATTGTCTGCGGAAAATTATTAATACTGTTTGATTTATTTAGATTTAAAATAATAAAAAGGACATCTATCCAATGTTCTAGGCGCCCTATCACATTAATTAATTATACAATACAGTGAAATCCCAGCGACATTAAAATAATCATTCCAGGGGGAACTCAGCCAGCCATAAGACTACAGAACCTCTTTTCCCACCCTTTCATCGGTTTGGGAACTATACTCTCAGCTCTCTCCAAAAACCCCATCCAACAAATGTATTATGCAGCAGCCCAGAATTCGGCAGCTAATGCACCATCACCAAATTCAGGCTATTTCTGACCCAGGGGAGCAACACCTTGCCAGCCACCTTCTCTGTTTGTTTTGTAGTGAGGGGATCCCGCTCAGTCTCCCCTGCTCACTGCAGCTTTGGCAGTATGGCACAGGGTGAGAGGCAGCCCCTTAGGTAGGCCAGTCCCAGGTCATTTAGAGCTTTATAGATTATAACCAACACCTTAAACTCTACCTGGAGACCAGTGGGCAGCCAGTGCAGATCCAGGAGCACTAGTTATATGCTCCCAGAAGATGCCCTGCTCACAGTGGTGGATCATCTAATGGGCCAATGGGGCCCACGTGCAGGGGACCTGGCCAATTGGGGAGCCCCAAAAAAAATGGGTGCCCTGTCCCTAGCAGAAATCTGACACAAGGTGGTGGAATAGGGTTGCGAGGCTTCCGGTTTTCGACTGGAATGTCCAGTCAAAAAGGGACCCTGACAAGCGGCAACATCAATCAGCACCGCTGATTAAAAGTCCAGTCTGGCGGAGCTAAGGCAGGCTCCCTGCCTGCCCTGGCTCTGCATGGCTCCTGGAAGTGGATGGCATGCCCAGCTCCTAGGTGCAGGGGCAGCCACAGGCTCCATGCGCTGCCCCTGCCCCGAGCGCCAGCACTGCCCCCACAGCTCCCATTGGCAGGGAACCGCAGATGGGGGCAGTGCGCAAAGCCACCTGGCCATACCTCCGCCTAGGAGCCGCTTGGAGGGACATGCCAGCTGCTTCCGGGAGCTGCCTGAGGTAAGTGCCGTCTGGTTGTAGCTCGCACCCTCAACCCCCTCCTGCACCCCAACACCCTGCACCAGGTCAGAAGCTCCTCCTGCACCCCAAACTCCTAACTGCATTCCCCAAACTCCTGCATTCCCAGCCCCACCCCAGAGCCTGCACCCCCAGCCGGAGCCCTCACCCCCTCCTGCACCCCGACACCCTGCCCCAACCTGGAGCCCACATCCTCAGCCAGAGCCCTCATCCTCTCCTGCACCCCAACCCTTTGCCCCAGCCCGGTGAAAATATATGAGGGTGGGGGAGTGTGAGTGACGGAGGGAGGGAGGGATGGAGTGAGTGGGGGGGAAGGTCTCGGAGAAGGGTCGGGGCAAGGGTGTTTGGTTTTGTGCAATTAGAAAGTTGGCAACCTTATGGCAGAAGTCTCTGCACACCACCCCTGGTCCCCAGCAGAAGCGCCGGGCAGCAGGGGAAGCCCCAGCACCCGGACTGACGCTGCAGTTCCGGGACTGGATGAGCTCTCACTCTCATTGCAGCCTCAGAGCTGGTGGTCACAACGAGGGGACAGAACTTCTCTCATCTTAAGGCTGCAGTCAGGGGGTGGAATGGGGTGGGATTATGGGGGTAGAGGCAGATTAGGGTGGGGCCGTGGTTGGGGCTGCAGGCAGAAGGGGTGGGGAGGGGCCCCCCCACTTGCTCATTGCCCTAGGAAACCTTAATCTGCCTCTTCCTGCTCAATAAGTGAGCTGCAGCATTCTGCACCAGTTTCAGTCTCTGAATGGTTGTAAGACATAGCTCCATATAGAGCACATTGCAACAGTCTAATCTTGAGATAGCAAAAGCATGGATAATAATGGCAAGGTCCATGTCCCAAAGGAAAGTCTGCGACTTCCAAGCCAGATACAAGTGGTAAAAAGCTGACTGAGTCACTGTAATATGATTGTCAAACAGCATCTGGGGCTCTAAAATCACCTGTGAGTTGTGAATCCACATAACAAATGGTGGACATACTCCCTCAATCAAAGGGACTGAGAGAACCTCCACCATCTTCTCTGATTGCTTCCCCCACTCCCACCATCATCCGTCTTGTCTGGGTTGAACTTCAGCCAGCTCGCTGTCATCCATACCCCAGTCTTAACTAGACATCGGTTCAGGCACTGAAGTAAGTAGGACGAGATGGAGACATCCAGTTGGTTGTTATCAGCATACTCTAAACATTGCACCCCATGCCTCCCTACTAGCCCTCCTAACAGCCCCATAAGCACATTAAACAGGCAGGGCGATAGAATGGCTATGACGTCATTTGTTGTACAGAATCAGAGTACTCAATAAAGGGAAAAGAAAATAATAGGTGCTTTGCTCTATAAAGTCCACAGCTGTAGGCTGGAGAGATGGGTAGATAATTTATGGGGGAGACATTTAAATTAAATAGAAAATAAAATATAAAGCTGTGGTGTGAACATATATAGTCATTATTAGTCACAGGCACTGATTTTTGGTTTTGCCCATTCATCCTGGCCTCCACTTTGAAAAAATGCTATTGAAATGCTTTTCCAAGGAGCTATGGGGTTTGATACCTTCCCCCCTCCCCTTGTTCCATTGGATTCCTAGTAATTAAAACGGGTAGATATATGCAAAATAATTTTAGAAAAAAATTACATTTTTAATCTACACTTTTAATTTTCCAAAA